TTATTTAAATGTAGGACTGAATTTACCCCCTCTGGATATTTGAGAGGACGGACAGACACACACACACACACACACACACACACACACACACACACACACACACAGAGAGTTCCCTGCGCTTTCTGCACAATTTATTATTCTACTCTTCATTATTCATTCCAATGGACTACACACTTTGTCCACAGGGGGGCGCCAAACCCACACAAACTGAGAGATCTTAACAGCTGCTTTAAATTAAATATTTGACGTTTGATATTGAAATATGAAATATTTTACCAGGACAAAGTTTGTCATTTCTGTGGAACATCTAAAGTCATTAATCTGCTGTGTCAGCGTCACAAACTCATATTTATTAAAGCTTGTAAACAGTAAATAATCCTGCTCCTCTAGACAGCTCTCACACTCCTCGCTCTGCCAAACATCACTCACATCACTGCTGTTAAAACCAAAGTTTGTCACTGAAGGAAAAATCAGAGAGAGAGAGGAGTAAGCGGTCGATATCAACGAGTATCAGTATCGGCTTTTTCCCACAGACATGCGCCGATATTTCTAGATTTATTCCCCAGTCTAAAAGAATTTCATTTGAGTTTCTTTGTCTTACTCTCTTTCACCAGCAGAGGGCGCTAAATGCATTACAACGTACATGTGTGACCATCTCGTCTCCGTTTTAAATCTTCTCCACAAGTGTTTGATGACTGCTGTGAGGGATCATCACAATAGTCCTAGCCCTTCATCAGAAATCAGTTTTTTACATCATGGAGATATCAGCACAGGTGAACAAACCGCTCCGTCAGCAAATCCTCTCAAGAAACTTCAACATCACAAATCTGCAACTTCTGACTCAACCATCTCTGCAGCTCTGCTAAATAAGTACAAAGGAGAAACTGATCAAATCCAAAGTATAAACTAGGAGTAAAATGTAGACTTACATCCTACTGGATAAATCCACATCCACCTGTGTGTAAATATCCACAAAGTTGGGTCCAGATGTTGCAGAGTCTTATTTTATAATCCAACAGCTGAGGAAGGTTTTTGTTTCCATAACGAGGGAGGAGATGACGTTTGCAGCTCCAGGAGTCACAAGACAACCTCTTCAGACATGGAAAAATCAACTTCGGCTCATATTTCATGAAGTCGATTAGCTGGAAACGACTCCTCGGGTTGAAGCAAATATCCATCATCACCTGCAGTCTGTGGGATTTATTCTATTTCATGCAGAAACATCCAAGTTGTTGAACTCTTTATTTGCTTAAAGTGCTCAACACTGATCGTAGATTACTCCGCATGAGGAAGAGTGTAAGCTCCAAGAGTCCTGATTCTGAAACAGCAAGCAGGTCCAACAGTCACATCTTCCTGAGTGCTTTCTTTAAAATTTCATGAAAAACTCAAAAAAAGAGCTGAAATTGCACGAGGACAAAAAGCAACATGAGATCTGTTGATAACTATTTAATCCTCAAGCTTCATGAGATCCTGAAAATTGCTCCTCTGAGGGAAGAAACTGCTGCATGGTTTCATAATTTGCACTTTTATTCTCTCTCGAGGAAAAAACCTCTGAAGTTGTTGCACTCTCTCTCTTTGCCTTGAGTTAAACGATGCATGCAAACTACTTCAAATGTGGAGGTTAAAGAGGTGCAAAGTCTGATTTCTGCAAAGGGCGACTTTGCAGAAAACTTTTGCAGAAATGCAGCTCTGCTCCTCCTCTGCGAGCTCTTCTTGATTTTGTGGGGGAAAAAACTCCAAAAGCATTGCATGATGAAAAATCAGCAAAAGGAGATTCTTCAGTTTAGTCCATTCAATGCAGAATCTTAAGAGAAAAAAGCAGAAATCATTTCTTTGGAGGGAGAAGTTTGGAGTGTGAGATCCCGACGCTGCAGGCAGAAGTGATCCGTGCACACCTGTAAGGCTCGAGTCATTAAAGTTTAACTTCTTGCAAAAAGGAGACAAAAAGATTTCTGAGGAGAGAGTCGGAGAAGTGGAGGATGGAGCTGTCTCCGAGCCAGCAGGATGAATGAAAAGCTTTCCTCTCTGCCTCCTTTTATACTCTTCTCTTCTCTCCGCCTGCGTCCTCGCTTTGGCTTTTACCCCGACTTCACCGAGTGTGTGTGTGTGTGTGTGTGTGTGTGTGTGTGTGTGTGTGTGCAGAGAGAGAGAGAGAGAGCCCTTTCAGAGCAGCAGGAATATATTATAACCCAAACAAAAGGAGCCGGCTTATTGTTTATGAATTACTAGCCTTCCAAAGCCAACAAAGGCCCCTATTTTCATAGAAAACCCTATTTTCATTTGAGCTGCGTTTGATTAGCAGAGCAGAGACAATGAAAAGGCCCCTCCGGTCGCAGCGTCCCAAAGGGATTCATTCCTGCGTCTCTCGCTCTTTCAACGCCCCTGAAAAGCTTTCTTTATTGCTTTCTTTTCAGGGCCGACGTCAAACGGGCTTTTAGGAGTAAACCAATGACGGAGAAAAAATATTGCTGGGTACAATAAGAAGGCCGAGCGAGCGAGCGAAAGGAGAGAGAAGAGAGGAGTCCTGTGTCGTCTTTGTCATCTTTTCTTTTCGCTTTTTTTCTTCCTCGCACTGGAGAGGAAAATTGCAGAGGCTGGAAATTAATGGCGAGGCTTTGAAGGCAGAGAGAGAGAGAGAAAGAAGAGGGAGACACAATGCAACAATACGAGTCAAATCTAAATGATCAGCAGCTATTGAACGCAGCACGGAGGCTGAGAGCTTCTGTACAGAAACGACACTCAGACACCTGTTGGTGCTCGGCCAAAAACAATGAACCCCACAGACTCACTGTCATTTCACCGACAATGGACCTGTCGATAGAGAGAGAGAGAGAGTGTGTGTACATGAGTGTGTGTGTGTGTGATTAACCATCGGTTCACTACAGTTCAAACCTCAGCTCCTACGTCTGATCTCTACTCCTGCTACATTTCATAAAGTGTCTTTGATGGTTAGAAAAATGTATTTAAACACGTTTTTTACTCTCCTGAAGACATCAGGGCCTCGTCTGCTCTCTCACTTTCTGATCTGAACTTGTCTGGTGAGCAAGCTGCATGGATTTAAAGAAGGACGGTGCATCGCGGTCTCCTCCCAACATATGAGTGAATGTATATTAAAATGGACAATGTGTCTCTAGCGCCTTCTACTGTGAAAAAATGAAGCCAAAAATACTCTCACATAGTGCTCAGTGATGTAATTTGCAGCACGGGGCCTCAGGATGTTGCTCTCACATGCAAAGATCGCTGAGCCCTCGTTTATTAAGTTTGCACGAATGCATATTTTGTTGTTTTGTTGGTCGTTTACGTTCAGACTCGACAATGGATGGACTGCGTGCAGCGAGAAAACGATCTTTCTCACATGAAGAGGTTTCTGCGCACTTCGGCTGCAGAAGACGCTCTTTCATCTTTTTTCTTTTGCCTCCTTTCTTTTTTCTTTTTTGTGTCCCGGCTGGATGAATATTCAGCTCGAGACAAAAGGTGAACCGATCAATTATTCCTCTCGCAGGGCGCTGCTGCTGCTGTTGTGAAAAGCGTTGACATTTGAGCCTTCCAGACGACATCTGCAAATTTATAAGCCGTCCATTGTGTGAGGCAGGCCGGCCTCGTATCAAAGGCCGTAAAAAGGCCTTGTCAATTTAGTCAGGACGACTCCACAAAGACGCCTTTCTCCTCTGTTGTTGTGAGAATAAAGCTCCTGGCTGGTTACCTGCCAAAACCTGTCGGCGATGCAGCCACGTGATGCTATTGATTGCATCGATAACAGAAGCGTCAAACTGTCAGCGGTGCATTGTGGGACGTCGTGAACTCACCAGATTCAGCAGAGGAGAATTCTTCATGGAGGTTTTAGAGGAGCTGACACCATAGCAGAATGTGATCTGTGATATGATTTTTCTTTAAATCAAATACATATATTTTTTTAAATACAGTGGTGGCTATTAATGCACGATGGATTATTTCTCTCCACTTTCTTTCTCTCAGTGTAAAAAAACAAAAACACATTCAGCACAACAAACCTTTCACATGAACCTAAAGAGAAACTACAGACATCTTAAAACTCAATGCACCTCTTAGGAATCTCAATGCATGACTGTTACATTTGAACCAACAGCACGACAAAACTATTTATAAATACATAAAGTGATAGAAATGTGACAGCAAAAACAATAAGTGAGGAGTCAAATATCATTCACAGCATGATAAAAACATCATGAACGGCACACAGGAACCGGAAGTAGTTGAGCAGGTAGAAGCCACAACGGGAGATTTAAGAGAAAGACAGAAAACTAAAGGAAAAAATATAATTTATGACTCACTTTTGTTGTCGACTTCTGTTTTTCTTTCCTTTGCCACCAAAAAGTTCCCAACTGTCCATCCTGTAGGTCCCGCTGTCCCATTAATCAGGAGAAAACTGTTACACCTGGTGTACATGAGGGTGCAGTACCACCACCGGCCGGAGCAGTGAAGGGGGGCGCTGTTTCGCTCATTTTGAAGATTATTCACTGAGCGTGTAGCTGAAGTGTTTTAATTAAAGTTCAGCATTTTATAAATATAAAAACTGCACAAACAGTTAAATTTCAAGAATAGAGAAATAATTTCATGCTTTTAAAGTGAAATAAAGTTGAAATTAATTTTAACCTTACATAATTAAATGCTGTTCTGAACTGGAACAGGCTAAAATTAAGTTTCATAAATTTAAAAGAATCTTAACTTTTTTTAACCCCACGTCTGTATCTCCCACGTCGGGCCAAAGAGGATGAGGGCAAATCATTAGAAATAAGTAATTAGGAAGACTTATTTTTCATTATGCCCTTTGAGAAAGAAGTCAAAATATCAGATATAAAATCAAAATGTTGAGAATAAAGTTGACAACATCATCATACCTACCCTTTCTGTCTTTCTCGATTTTATTCCCGACATCTCGCCTCTAATTTCAACATCTCGTTAATTGTTTCTCAACATGTTTGTTTGTTGTTTGATTTCAATCAAGTCACGAGACTGAAGCGTTGGATTTATTAAAGTTTATTCAGACAAACAGGTGAAATAAATAAACGGAGGATGATTCTTCATATCTCCTGTAATCGACACACAACACATCATCAGTTAAATACGTTAGTAAGACTTCATTAGTGTCTCTGGTTTCACTTGTTGGTGAAAGAACTGATCGGGTCCAGTAGAAAAAAAAGTCTCAAATGAAAACCAGCTGTTCAGAATACAAACACAATCACAGATATAAAAATAAGGAATCATTTTACACTTAGTTGCATATTGAAGTTGTAAAAATCATAATAAAAAACAATATTTTACGGCGTTGCATTGCTTGGATTTCGGTCTTTAAATAGAAAAAGACACATTTAAATAATCGACCTCTGAACTAAAAGAAAAGAAACTGTGATGCTCTCTGAGAGACGTCTCACTCTGCGAGAATAAAAAATGCTTAAAGAGGATTTAAAGGTTTTTTATATTTAAGACATCCACAGAGAGGAAATAAAAACATTCAGGAATGAAAGATAAACACACAAAAAGGAGAAGTGATTAGTTTGTCAGCAGTCCATAGAAGGCGTAAAAAGCAGCATGACAGGAAGTGATGTCATTGCGCCTACCAGCTGATTTGACGTCACAGCTTCACGGTCTGTTGGATGGCAGCTGTTCTCTCTCTCGATCCGGTTTGGTTCAAGTGAAAACGTTTTATTGGCAGCTCGTGTCCAAAGTATGAACGTCATTTGGCCCATTTGCAAGTCAGGAATTAGTCTCGTCCAAACGTCTTGGGGGTTAGTCTCGTCCAAACGTCTTGGGGGTTAGTCACGTCCAAACGTCTCAGGAATTAGTCTCGTCCAAACGTCTCAGGGGTTAGTCTCATCCAAACGTCTCAAACGTCTCAGGAATTAGTCTCGTCCAAACGTCTCAGGGGTTAGTCTCATCCAAACGTCTCAAACGTCTCAGGAATTAGTCTCGTCCAAACGTCTCAGAGGTTAGTCTCATCCAAACGTCTCAGAGGTTAGTCTCGTCCAAACGTCTCAGAGGTTAGTCTCGTCCAAACGTCTCAAACGTCTCAAACGTCTCAGAGGTTAGTCTCGTCCAAACGTCTCAGGGGTTAGTCTCGTCCAAACGTCTCAGAGGTTAGTCTCGTCCAAACGTCTCAGAGGTTAGTCTCGTCCAAACGTCTCAGAGGTTAGTCTCGTCCAAACGTCTCAGAGGTTAGTCTCGTCCAAACGTCTCAAACGTCTCAGAGGTTAGTCTCGTCCAAACGTCTCAGAGGTTAGTCTCGTCCAAACGTCTCAGAGGTTAGTCTCGTCCAAACGTCTCAAACGTCTCAAACGTCTCAGAGGTTAGTCTCGTCCAAACGTCTCAGGGGTTAGTCTCGTCCAAACGTCTCAGAGGTTAGTCTCGTCCAAACGTCTCAGAGGTTAGTCTCGTCCAAACGTCTCAGAGGTTAGTCTCGTCCAAACGTCTCAGAGGTTAGTCTCGTCCAAACGTCTCAGAGGTTAGTCTCGTCCAAACGTCTCAGAGGTTAGTCTCGTCAAACGTCTCAGAGGTTAGTCTCGTCCAAACGTCTCAGAGGTTAGTCTCGTCCAAACGTCTCAGAGGTTAGTCTCGTCCAAACGTCTCAGAGGTTAGTCTCGTCCAAACGTCTCAGAGGTTAGTCTCGTCCAAACGTCTCAAACGTCTCAAACGTCTCAGAGGTTAGTCTCGTCCAAACGTCTCAGGGGTTAGTCTCGTCCAAACGTCTCAGGGGTTAGTCTCGTCCAAACGTCTCAGAGGTTAGTCTCGTCCAAACGTCTCAGAGGTTAGTCTCGTCCAAACGTCTCAGAGGTTAGTCTCGTCCAAACGTCTCAGAGGTTAGTCTCGTCCAAACGTCTCAGAGGTTAGTCTCGTCCAAACGTCTCAGAGGTTAGTCTCGTCCAAACGTCTCAGAGGTTAGTCTCGTCCCAGGTGGGGTCGTTCATGCTCTTCAGAACTCTCCGGATGATTCTCTCCAGCTCCTTCCTCGCTCGCTGCTCCTCCTCCAGCGTCCTCTTCATCCTCTTGTTGTCCTGGAGACAAAGAATGACAGAAAGGGGGAGGGGCAGGAGAGGAATTATACCAGACCATTCTTTGTTTGAACATAAATGAAATAAACACTCGTGAAAACCTGAGCAGGACACCCTGCCCCAGACATTTTCCTGAGGGAGGGAGGGAGGGGGGAGGGTCTTATGAGGCGAGGCATGGCGTCGAAAGGGTTTAAAAAAGCAGATGTGGAAATTAGCAGCAAGGGTTTACAGAAAAATAAGGTGGAGCTGATGAAGAGGGAAATGGACTTGAGCTCGAGAGACGAGCGACTCCACCATCTGAGCCACAGCCGCCCCCCCTGAGAGACTGACCTGTTTGAGCTCCTGGACTTCATCTTTCAGACAGTACACGGTGTCCACCAGACCCCTGCAGAAACACAACACCTCTGATTTACTCAATCTCCTGTTTTGAAACATGGCGAGTCATTTTGGTTTTGTGATGTCTGCCCTCCCTCACCTCTCCTCCACCACAGTTTGTCCGTTGCTCTTCGTCTCCTCCACGATGATCTTCTCCTCCTCCGGGAACAACATGTGGACGTTCTGCCTGCTGGAGCCTGACCCGACAGAGACAACAGTGAAGCTGATTAACCCTTCACACTACGCACACACACACACACACACACAGGACGGGTCGGACACTGATTGGATCTCTTTACAGCAGCACAGGATGAACTGATATTCTAAATACTAACACAAACACAGCAGCTAAAGGGTTCAGGATGTACGCCAGCTGTTTGTAACGTCCATATCTTACGAGAAAACGAGGCCGTCCTGTAACTAGTGGCCGTCCAGATACTGTCATAATCGGAGTCCTCTGATTGGTCAGAACACGGCGGGTTACCAGGGTTACCCGTGACAGTGAGGCTGGTGTCAGCGAGCACGTGGTTGTGCATGAGGTCAGTCCCTTGCCAGGCTGGACCGTAGAGTGAATGCACGGGGGGTCGGGGTTAAATCAAATGTAATGTTTGCAGGGGAGGACGGGAGGAGAAGAAACCATGTTGATGAAATAAATAAAGGTTTGGGATAAAAAAATATTTTTTTACGGGGAGGGGTTTGACCCAAAAAACAACCGAGAATGAAAGGAAAATGAGGTGTGAGGGATGAATTATGGGAAAGCAAAGTAAAAGTTGAGGAATAAAAGAAGTGTTGGTGTAAGGAAGGGTAATGAAAAACAAAAGATTTAAAGGACGAGGAAGAAAAAGAGAAAACGTCATTAGAGCCAACAGCAGAGAACAAACAGTGGTTAGCATTAAGACAGTTAGCGCTGTGTTAGTATGTATGTGATGTGTGTGTGTGTGTGTGTGTGTGTGTGTGTGTGTACTCACTGGAGTTGAGAGTCTGTCGTGTCTTTGCGCTCGTGCAGTACGCTTCGATCACCTTCAGAATCTGAGCGTCTTCCTCCAGAGCGGCCGTACCTGAGACAGAGAGAGGGAGCAGGAAGAGAGAAAGTAACGTTTAAAACAGATAACAATACTCCGACTGGCAGACATATTGGAAAGTCATCTACATTGCAACCTTGAAGAACAGCTGATGACGACTGAGGACAGAACAGTTTCAGCTACAAAAGTTTAAGACTTTAAGAAAAGCTTTAAAAAAATATAAATATCTTCCTTCACTGAGTGTGTTTTCTGTATTTTCTGTTTTGCATATTCACTTTTTCTGACTGAGAAATCCTCCTCTGAAGGTTTCCTCTCTGGTTTCCTCTTTGGCAGCAGCTTCTTCATGTTCTTTGGACTTTTACTCAGATCCTAAAAACACACAACAGCTTTAATTCTGACGCAGCAGAACAAGTCTTTAGATATGTTTTTGTAAACAACCTCACATGTCCTGGAGGTAACATTAAAAAGACTGAGTATGCTTATGATGGTATGTTGGTGTGCAGCACCTCCTTCTGGCAGAGCGCAGCAGAGGGCCGGAGAGGAGGCGCAGGGCGGAGGCAGCTCAGGCTCCAGGGTTTGGGCGTGCTCGGAGGCTCCAGGGGCCCCCACGTCGGACTGCTGCTGCTGGTGTGTGTGGTGCCGAGTGAAGATGGATGGGGGAGTGTGTGGTAGTTGTTTCCTGAGCCGCTGCCTCCTCGAGACTCTGAGTGTCTGGACGGAGTGACGGGTTGAGAGGGCAGCTACGAGGAGCAGAAGGAGAGGAAGTGAGCGGGGCCGCAGAGAAAACTGGATCATGAGTCATAGTTTAGAGATCCTGCAGACTCACTGTGTGACACACAGACTGAGGCTTGTGCGGGTGTGTGTGCACAGCCGGAGTGTGTGTGTGTTTTGTGAGGAGGTCCAGCCAGTCCTGCAGATCGTGCTGATTGTTACAAGCAACCTGCATCCGCTCGCACTGACCACCTGCACCTGCATACAAAATGAAGACATAGAAGAGCAGGCTTCAACAATGAGCTGAGAGAGAGAGAGAGCGAGAGAGAGAGCGAGAGAGAGAGAGCTGACCTGATATCTCAAAAGCGTTCTTCAGGTTATCTCCGTCTTCTATTCTTGATATCAGTATTCCTGACAGTGGTATCCTCCCCTGCGGAGACAGAAAACATTTGCTGATGCGGGCGTCTTGAACAGAAGTTTCAGGTCTGCTGCTCCTGCAGGATGATCTCTGGTCTCTTTAAATCTTTAAAAAGTAGTTTGAAGGTATTGGAGGGAGATGCTTTGACTGATGACTTTTCGGCTCTGTGACTCAGGATATGCTGATCTGTGTTGTACGTCTCTTATCTTGTTAAATGTGCTGCTGCCTGAGATCAAGTTCTTCTCTTCTCCTGGTTAAAAACACTTTAAATAAATTCATAAATAACGTGCACGTTTGCAGATTTGCATGCTTTCTATAAAGATGGTATGAGGGTGCAAGTGAAGCATGCACAATCAGAGATCATCACATGGGGTTGACGTACCTGATAGATGAATCCGCTCATCCTCAGACTGGCAGAGAGCATGAGCAGAGTGTGAGGAAACAGGACGAGGTATCGCTCGTTTGACTCCTGAAAGACAAAATGGAACGAGTTCTATGAAACCTGACTGATGGATGGATGTGTGGTTGAGATATGTGGGACGTTGTGCTGAGTACCTGACAGTTCTGCGTGTGGACGGTGGTCTGGGACATGTGGAGGACGGGGCCCAGGGCTCTGATGTCATCGCCCTCCCAGTTTCTGATTGGTTCGGTTAAAATCTGCAACTCGAGGTCCTTCTTCTTCCTCACATCCTGACACTGAGCCTGAACACACACACACACACACACACATATATGAGTATATATATATATAAAAAGGTACAGAAACAGGTTGTCAAATCCTGTGAGCATGATCGAAACCAGAAGGATCTCAAAATTCACTCGTAGCTTGTAAATTGACACAGAATGACCGAGATCTAAAAACGCTTACTGCAAAGTCTTTAAAGGCTGAAAGAGCAGCAAGGAGGTCGGCTCTGTCAGGGTGCTGCTCCTACAACAAAGAAAAGAAAACACAGAAGTTAAAAACAGTTTCTGAGATCGTGCACAGAGAGTCAGATCGTCAAAAGAAACCCTCTTTACTCTGTTGTGTTATTTTTATTTATGTGTCTAAGTGCAGGTCTGATTTATTTATTTATGTTTCCAGCATTAATCTTATTGTTCTGATATTAACACAGACGGACGGACAGCTCACCTCCATGTGTCTGTCCAGTTCTTTGAGCAGCGTCGGGTATCTCTCCAGTCGAGTGAAGGGTTTACTCAGACTGGTGGTCAGAGTCAGGATCCCCGGAGTGGACGCCCCCTTTGACTCCATGTACTCCCCCAGCTCCTCACTGTGACGCACACATAAAATAAAGCAGCACACACACTCACATTAATGATGTGTGTGTATTAATGCGTGGAAGTAAACAGTGGAAGATATTAAAGAAATGGAAAGAATTACATAAAGAAACAGAGAAGATGAATTCATGTGTTACTGGAGTAAATGGATAAAGGAAACAGATAAAGTGGAATAATAAGAGGTATGTAAATTAAATTATATTAAATTAAGAGAGTAGTGAAGGAACACCCCCCCCGCCCCATTCTATTTACGGTTTTATATTATTTTTATTATTATTATTATTTTTAATTATTATTAGTATTATTTTTTCTTCTCTAATCTTAATTAAATCTTTTCTCTATTTGTACCTTTTCTTTGGATTTTTATCTGTTTTTATTTTATTTTATGTTGTATTCTTGTTTGTATTTTTGTATGTTTAAAAAAAAAAATTATATCTAAAAATGTGCCAGGATGAACCAAATTTGTGATGAAATATGACAACTTGTAATGAAGTAAAACAGCCTGCAATAAAGTATAAAAATTTTTTAAAAAAGATGTGTGTGTGGGTTTTCAATTCATGCATTTGTGACATTGTTACCTGTGTTGTGTGAGGACGCTGACAGCACACGGGTGGGTGGAGCAGTACGCCACGTAGATGATCTTCATCTGAGGCATCAGATTGAGGAAGAATCCGCCGATCCTCTGCTGATTCTCTGGAAGTCTACACACACACACACACACACACACACACACACACACACACACACACACACACACACACACAAACAACACATTAAACAGGATGATAACTGCAAATCTCTCTCTCTCTCTGTGTGTCTGCTTTCCTACTCCATCCACTGTCCTGTCCAGTCAAGGCAACAAGCCCGTCTACCACTAGATGTCTCTCTTGCTCTAATAACCACATAATAAAGATGTCTGAGCCTCCGTCTGTTCTGCAGAGACTCTGGAGGATGTGCGTTTAGTTAAACAGGATGTTTACACGAGCAGGTCATCAGACAGACGATGCTCTGTAACACCGACAGACACACACAGTATGATTTGAACTCAAGGTTTTCATGATTCATTTATTCTTTCCTCGACTGATTGCTGGATCGTTTGGTCTTTTGGAGTGGAGTCATAAAAGAGAAGACTTGCATAAATATTACATTAATTCAGATAAGAAAGATAAGAAGATAAACACAGAATTATTGAGACATTTCCGACTAAAAAACAGTAAAGAGAGCGACACAGCTGCAGAGGAACTTCTCGTTGTAAACATAACAGATCCTCCAAAAACAGACTGTGTCTTATAAACCGGTGTGACTTATTCTCCAGCCTCTACAGTGTGTCGTGTTGTGTTTTTAAAGATGGCTGTACTGACTTTGTGTGCTCCTCCAACGACTGAACCAACATCTGCTGGAAGGTCGAGATCTCCTCCAGATTTCCCTGAATGTGACTGATGTCGACGCTGGTGAGTCTGCAGAGAGGAGGAGGAGGAAGAGGAGGAAGAGAACGAGGAGAAGGAGGAGAAGGAGGAAGAAAGGGAGGAGGAGGAGGAAGAGAACGAGGAGGAGAACGAGGAGAATGAGGAGAAGGGGGAGGAGTGAGGACCAGACCGGACAGAAGAGAAGGAGGAAAAGGAGGAGGAGGAGGAGGAGGAAAAGGAGGAGGAAGAAGAGAAGAAGGAGAAGGAGGAGGAAGAGAAGGAGGAGGAAGAGGAGGAGGAGAAGGAGGAAGAGAAGGAGGAGAAGGGGGAGGAGTGAGGACCAGACCAGAGAGAAGAGAAGGAGGAGAAGGATTTGGAGGCCAGAGAGAGGATGAAGATGAGAATGAGGAGGAGAGCAGAGAGAGAGGAGGAGGAGGAGGAGGAGGAGGAGGGGATCAGATTGAGGAGGAGACCGGAGAGAGAGGAGGAGGAGGAGGAGGAGGGATCAGAGTGAGGAGGAGACCAGAGAGAGAGGAGGAGGAGGAGGATCAGAGTGAGGAGGAGACCGGAGAGAGAGGAGGAGGAGGAGGAGGAGGGAGGAGGAGGAGGAGGAGGGGATCAGAGTGAGGAGGAGACCAGAGAGAGGAGGAGGAGGAGGAGGAGGAGGAGGAGGAGGAGGGGATCAGAGTGAGGAGTCGTTCATTATTTAATAAAGTTCTTTGGCTTTTACTCTCATTAATATGATGGTTTATATTTTTAGGTATGACTTTAATATTTAACAGATGATTTTTTTAAGGTTCATACAGATAAAAATCTAATATTGTGTGTAAATACTTTTTAACATTTACAAATAATAAAATAATATCAAAAACAGTGAGAGAAACCTGAAGGCATAAAATAAAGATGAATAATCAGAAGCAGGAATAAATAACCTGTGAGGATAACAACGCAGCACTTTACACGCCTGGTACCTGACGTATGTTTCATATAAAGTGTGTGTTACAGTGTGTGTGTGTAAAGACAGTAGGACCTGATTAATAAAACAGAGGTCTAAAAATAAGCTCACCTGTCTGTGGGGTGAAGCGAGCGCAGGTATGAACCCAGCAGACTCTGCAGCTCCCTCGAATATTCACTCTCTGCTTCCAGGATGTTCTGCAGGACCTGTCACAGACACACAAACACACACAGACACACAAACACACACACTGTCAGCTTCAGTACCAACAACAATATGTAGCCGGATAAAGTGCGAGTGAAATATTTACACATGCAGCTCATCCTGAAAACCTCAGGATTTCATTCAGGAGATTTGAGCGAGGCTTGTGTCTCCTTTCAGGTCCAGAGGGAGCTCACTGGAAGCTGCTTCAGTTCACAGACGTTCGGCAGTGTATTTCAAAAATAAAGAGAAATTCTTCTTCTTCTGAAGCTCTAACACGGCCACTTAAAAAAAGAAGGAAAACGCCCAAAGCCTTAAAAAAGCTTACTTAAAAGCTTCTGTTTCAACCAGAGACTCCATTAAAGAAAAGAGAAACTTCTTTTTGTTTTCTCCTTCTGTCAGAGAACAGATTTGACTTGAGGCCGTGATGAAGTGTTTGTGTGCTCAGGTATCTGTACTAGAGATGGACAGTCTAAAGAGACTGTGGCAGCTCGTTGCATTATTAAAAACACAAACACTCACACACACAGACACACTCACACACACACACTCACACACACACACAGACTGACACGCACACCAGCAGCAGAAATCAACCCTGCGGCAAGGCTGCCCCAGAAACCACTGGAATGGAAGAAATAACCTACATTTCATCGCTCACACAGACGACACATGCAGGGGAGCTGTCTGATGATGACACACACACACACACACACACACACACACACACACACACACAGCTGCACACACATTAATTGGCGGATGTGTGGATGAGAAGTAATTGATTGTGACAGTTTACGAAGGCAGAAACACGAGCGACACATGAACTCAGATCACTCCGGGTATAAAAGCTGCACCATGAAAGATAGAAAAAATTATGTTTTAATTCCATTTCTGCCAAATATTTTATAATCTCAACCCTAAATTTATGTGATTTCTCCTTCCTATCCCTTCCTTTTATTAATTGTATTGCTCTTAACCTTTGTATCTTTCTCTTCTTTAAATGTTTTAACCTTTAAATGTTTCCCTTCCTGTATTAATAGTCTTTTTAAATTCCTCCTCCTTTTATCGTTTAACTCTTCAGCTCTCTGTTTCTTTATTCATTTAACCGATGTCCTGTTTATCTCTTCTTTTTATCTTCATTCTGTGTTTACAGCCTGTGATGTGATGTCCTCCCACTCTCCCTCAATTTTCATTTGGTTCTCTCCTGATTGATTTTAATCTAATTTTCCTTCACTGTACTGAACTGCCTCTCCATGCCTGCCTGTTGACTCCATATCATTCCTGTTATTTGCATTTTTACAATTTTGCCCTCTCTGTTGATCTCTGTTCTGTTGTGTTTTTGCTTTATCTGTCACAGCACTTTGTAAACATTTGTTTTTAAAGGTGCTATATAAATAAAGATATTATTATTGGTATTATTATCATTCAAATTACTTTTGTTAAAGGTGGATTGAGTAGCATTGTTGGTTGCAGCTTGTATATTCAAACTGGGCCCCTCCTCCTCATCAGAAGCTCACTGCAGGATGTAGTGTGAACGTTTACTGCTTGTAGCTACACAGCTAACCGCTAACCGCCGGTGTTTGTCACCTGCCTGTCCAACAGGAAGTAGACCAACTCCACGTCCACAGGTAAAAGACAACACAAGGTTCACCCTCGTTTAAGAACAAAGCAGAACAGTAAAATCCAATCAGAGGACAGAGTCTCTGCAGACACAGTCACCACCACACATGTACGGAGGCCCAGAAAGGGACGATGGAGCAGCTTCACTTTAGGAGAAGTCTGTGTTTTATTTTGAAGGAGGAAGCTGCTGACTCTACCTTTAAGTATAAACACTGAAATATTCAGGTAGAAATGATAAACTTGTAGGTTCTCTTCCTCTTCCTCTTTCAATCATTCAACATTTATGCATCATATAAGAATAATTAAAGCTTTATTGCAGCTTCTTAGTAAGATTATACTCACCACATTGTAGTACGTCTTGCTGATGATGGTCGTGTCAAAACCTTTGGGCGGACTCTTCAGAGTGCCCGACTTCTGCCTCTCTAATGTTTTATCTGTAAAGAGGAAAAGAAGGAGAAAATGACTTAAAGATCCGACAGACGGTGAAAGAAATGAACATCCAGATCAAAGATGAGACATTTAAAGATGCAGCAGTGTCCTTCTTTTACATCACTGTGACTCTGTTGATGCTGACAGCTGTTGACAGATAGTTAGCGACCTTGTTGACCTTTGATCCCCAAAATCAAATCAGTACGTCTCAAAATCAGAGTGTGTGTTGGTACCAAATCTGACGTATGTAAGGACAAAAGACGACAGAATTCTGTTCGGCTTTGACCGCCCGGATACAAAAAAGGCTAAAAATAACAGCGTTATAAAACCTTCTGTTTGGTTTTTGGTTAACTGGAGAGTCTGAGGAGAAAAATGCAGACTCCTGTGGTGACTGAACTGTCACCCCGTTCATCGTAACGTCTCCCCCTGTGGTTCAAACGCTCCCTGAAGGGCAGCTCAACTAAATGTAGGACAACCAATGACAGCAGGCTTTAATGTACTGACTCATGCCGTGGCATACTCCTGTTTTTTTTCTACATTGTTTAGCGAATAAAAAAGCAGGCAGTCACATCCTTAACCTCACCGTGTTGAGATGAAAGCTCGGAGTCTAACAGCCGTTTTCTGGATAATAGGGAGCTTGATGTACTTTTCGGGCTTCTCTGTCTGACAAGAGATATGAAAGAGCGTCTTGTAGCTGAAGCTAATGTAATGAGGATGATATTTAACGTCTAAATCTTGGGGTTGTAGTGGAAAAAGTTAGGCCCAAAGACTGCTAATTAACCTATATTTCTTTTTTAAGATTCCTACAAAGGTTGGTCTCTAAAAAGAAGGATCACCACAATCAGAAATTCCTCCCTGCACTGTTCTGGTTTTCTGCTATGAGCTTCAAGACAGGAAGTTTCTTTTTAAACAGCGGCTCTGGAGCTTCCTGTCTTTGTTTGCTCGTGGAGCTTCCTTCCTTCCTTCCTTCCTTCCTTCCCTCCACAGAAAGCAACACAACAAACCAACACAGTCGATGAGGATAATACTCTTACAGGCTGAGGGGGGTTAAAGCCTAACATGCACACAAAGTGTTCAGATTGAGGTCAGAAATAAGAATTAACACAGATTTTCCATATTGTTCTGGAACTTCTTGGAAAAATACACGAGTTAAAAACCCTGCGTGTATTAACCCTGTCACAAACTTTGTCCCTTGAGTCTTGGCAGAAAGTACAGGCAGCATTAATCCAAAGATCTTTAACGTAGAAAAGCTTTTTGTACATTTTAAATCTTCTACATGTTGCTGCACCCACCGCCTCCTTTCAGCTCCCGGACGTAGTTGCTGGGGAACCACCCAGACTTGCCGTTGACTGAGCCTTCCCACCAGCCGCCGTCCTCCTGCCGGCTCACGCTGATGATGTCACCTTTGGAGAAGGAGAGCTCGTCCTCATTGGTCTGCTGGAAGGGGAAGCGCGCTTTGACCAGGATGTGGCCGCAGCCAGCGCCCTCCGACATGTCCTGAGACACAGAGAGGATGACGAGGATAGAGCTTCAGAAGAAATCAAATCTGAAGAATCAAATCTGGGTTTTAAAAATAGACATCTGATACCTAAACCCCCGTCATGACTCCTGAGATATGTTATTGCTGTTGTCATGGTAACTCACCAGACTCCGGTACTGAGGCTGCAGCAGTTTAGAGGAGCGAGGCTGAGTGTTGGAAGAGTCGAAAGATTTGATCCTCAATGAAGAGGAGGGCGGCACGCACGCGTCGTCTTCAGAAACACCAGATTCTGCACGCGACGGACAAAAACATGATCCAGTTTAACAATTACAAACCCTGAAACTAGAATTTATCAAAATATGATTACTCTTCAGAGAGTTAGGAAAGCCCTGTGCTCTCCCCCTGTACGAGTTACATCGGTCCCGTCCCAAAACTCCCACAGACGGAGGTTGAAGGCAGTTCTGTGTATCAGCAGGTTTATTTACATGGTTTAAATACACACCTACAAAAACGCTCTCTCTCTCTCTCTCTCTCTCTCTCCCACACAGAAAATCTGCATCTCCGATAAACACAAGCTAACTATCAGCTAAATCATAACAAACATTCCCTGTCAGCTGGAGGTCTGCAGATATTACCTGCCAACTCGTCTTTCATAAGGACGGAGGAGACACATTTAACAGCTGAAGATTCAAAATATTGTAAACAACATGCACCCCCAAAAACAAAAAAAACTCACCTTCCGTCGCTTTGTTCAGCACGACCAGGGAGTTTAGGACCTTGGAGAAGTTCAGCCCTGCAGGAGGTCGTTCACCTCGAAAGCCTAACGGACGAAGAAGATTAAACATTTTGAAAACAGCGATTAAACCTAAAGGGAACAACACTCATAACACATTTATAGAGTAGGTTTTCATGCACTGATCTCACGCAGAGAGGTGGAGGAGAGCAGGGAAGACACCTCGGGGACCAAAACAACAACAGGAAGAACACTCAGAGGTTCTAAAATTAGGTTTAATTGACTGTAATGCACGCTGCAGCTTATGTAGAAACATGCTGCTTGTATCCACACTTTGCTTGTGTCTTTAATTTACATAAAGAAAACATATGTAAACCTTTAAATGTAGAAATGCAAAGTTCAGCGGGGGCTTTTCATCCCTGCTCTGACTGCAGTCTGCTGCAGGATTACTCAAAGTCTGAGCTCCCCCCTTCTAATCTCCATATCAAGCACACACACGCACACACACACACACACACACAGTCACAAACACACAAATCAAAATACCTCTGAAGCCCCCTAATCTTGTGCACACCACACACAGCCTGTGACTTCTGCGTCTCCAGGGCGTGAAGGTGGAGCAAAGTCAAAGTGAAAACATCCTGATCTCCTGGACTGGATTCTGTCCCGAGGGAGCGCTGAGAGCTGAAAGAGGATCGTCTCTCTTTAATCAAATCATAAAACTGCACCGCTCTTTAATGCTGCCCTCCTTTAAGAACCCACTTTGTTTGATTTATACACACAGGCTGATTAGCATTCAGAGCAGTTTGGACCCAACACTTCATACACACTTTCATCTCTTGCACTGGCATTCGGCCACCATACGTACAGTATGAGGCTTTTTTATCCTCTGCTGCTGCAGTACACCATCACATCATGACATTTGAGCACATTTCTAGTATTTCTAGTATTCCCTTCTTACAGGACGACAGCGTAAATATGAACAGGATCAATACGGACATCGAGACGCACATGTAGGAGAATCTTAAACCTCACTAATGGAGGAAAAGTCTTGAAATATTAGACGGCACTTCTCCTGAGGGATTGTTTTGTTTTAGTGGAATTTGCATGACAGATATTTGAGTAATTACTAAGAATGACCTCATTCAGTTTTGATCAGACGGACGGTCTCTGCTGATGTCTGAGTCGAAGGTTAGAAATGCTTACTTCCTCTAATTCCATATAAAAGATGAATCATCATGAAGATTATTGTTCTATCCTGCAAGCAAACACTTGAAATGACTTCATGCAGATGTGTGTGCTCTGCATCCCGTTCAGACAAATGTCAGAATGGCCAGATTTAGGGAGGGCCAATCACAACAAGGCATTATTAAAAACTACCAACGCTGACTGCTGCTGTTTTTGAGTCTGGGAGAAAAGATTATTTAAATGCAAAGTGGTTGTCATGATAAGAACGTGATATAAATAACAGCGGCTTCATGCAGAAAGGATATTAATAACTACAGAGGGAAAAGTGTGTTTCATGTTCTGCTTGCAGCTTCACGTGAAGAATAAACTCCTCTGCAGCTTCGCACAGAGTCACAGCATGCTTACAGTAAAACAAACCACAGAGATTAGTCAAACACAATCAAAATACCTCTAAAGCCCTTTAATCTCATGTGAACCAAACACTCACAGGCTTCTGCCAAGGTGTTGAGGTGGAGCAGAAGGGAGAAAATGATCTAATCTTGCAGAGAGAAGCTCAAAATGCAAAGTCAAAATCCAGTCTGGTTGAGTTTAATTAGCAGCAAATGAATGATTTAGATGATTAACTGTTTGTCTCTGGTCACAGTGAGATTTTCTCCACAGTCATACATGATGAACATGACGTCTCCTCTGTAATCCTTGTCTGTTGGCTCATCCTGCCTGTCTAGAAGAAGAATTACTACGATGATGTCACCCAGGCTGCAGGAAGTGAAGGCCTTGGCTTCCAGCAAACATGGATGTCATGCCTCTACTCAACCTGATTGGAAAATCCACTGGCTGCCTGACATGTTGCATTACATCAACCCAACACTCTCTTCTCCTCCTTTTCAGACTCTTTCCTCTTGCTCCTTTCTTCACAACCAAGTCAACGTTTCCCTTTTCCAGACACTCCTCTCAGAGCTTTCAAAGACGCCAAAAACCGTTTTCAAAGTCTGGAGTGAAACCTCGTTAAAGGTCTGCAGCTGGTGACTCCTGTCTTGCATAATCTTCCTCTTCCCGTTATGATTCAATCGCTTTTCCAACGTACGGCTCAATAATATGTTTGTGTGTCGAGTTTAATTTTGAATCACACTACTCAGTGGTCATCTTTAATCCAGGTCAGGATAATATCATTTGAGTTGTTTCAGTTTAACAAACACAACAAAGCATGCACGTGAAACTTCTCTGTAAAAATATATAGAGAAGCAAACATTTTCAAGATTCCTAGCTTTGCATTTGAACATCTAAAAACTACTGATTGCACCCAGTAGAGAGATATCAGAGCATCATAAAGCAAGAGTTGTATAATAATTATAACCACTAAGAGCAGCGATAAGATTGGATACCACACACGAGATAATGTTTCTGCAAAACTGGGCTCAATCTGACTCATTAGATTCACTTGAAATCATTGGGAGTCCATGGAGGACAGGTCACAACTCCAATAATCACGCTTATGTCTCATTAAAAGGTTGACCGAGCCACTTTGACAACAATGCATAAAAAACAAGGATAAAAACTTCCCTTCATGTTACTCTATTCAACAATCACCAAACTTAACTCATCTGCAAGCAGCGGTTAAATATCTGTTAAAGGTAGAAGAGGTAAAACGCCTGCTTTGAAGTACCACTGCTAATTTGCAGCTTAAGTCCGGCGTACACTGCACGACTGTAGGAAAGTCACAGTGGAATGTCAGCTCACAGCGAACGACCTGACTGTCGGGCACGACCTGAACGCTCACCCTGTACGAGTTAAATCCGGACAGAGCGTTCACAATTGACAATAGAAAACTCCCCCAGATGGAGGTTGATTTCAGTTGTCTCATGCACGGCTCAACTGGGCTACACACACACACACACACACACACACACACACACACACACACACACAAAATCTGCATCACCAATAAACACAAGCTGCAGCACGGCTACAAATGGACATACTTTGTAATCTAGTGGAGCAACTCCCAAACCGTATTGTACCATTAATGATATGGGCCCAGGTTTAAAAAATAACAGAATACCCCTTTAGTAATTAGTCTGTGAGGTCGTCCAGATTTACAGGATTATTTGAAGTTGAGAAAAACGTGAGTGATTTAACAACGGATTACCAAACAGAAAGAGTACGAGCCAGAATGTTTGGCAACAGATTATTACTACGAGATTTACTAACCCTTCATATGTGGGTTAACATTTTGAGTTTACGATAACGATGATAATAATAATAATAATAATAATAAATTGTTTTTTATAGCGCTTTTCTAGGAACCCAAAGACGCTTTGACAAAAAATAAAACCATAAAACAAAACAAAGATACCTTTTACGACACCATGGCAACCAACATAGACATCCTAGGTTGGTCAATATTTAGTTTTTAAAATACAAATAATGAAAAGTTAATGTTTTAATGAATAGACAGCGTCACCCAGAGGAGCTTATCACCGCAGCTAGGTAAAAAGAAAACAGGTGTCCACATCTGGAGAGGGTCGAAGATATCGAAACTTCTCCTTTTTTTGAGGCTTTTGCACGTTTATGCAGAAGTACACAACTCTTTTTTTTTTTTTTTGCATCATTTTGTTTGTTTAATGTTTAATACAATACAAGCCGTACATATTATCACAGGTAGTTCTTAACAACAATGGTTGGAACAAACTGTGATTTGACCTAAAACCCAGGTGCAAAAACACTAAAATGATAGATTTAAATGTTAATCAGCTGAGAAACAGACATATTATAATCTGAAGAATATACTTATATTTATAGCATCCCATTAATCCAATAATTCACTTTTTTTTTAGTCTACATCTGTACATTTTGTAATTACTTGTACATAGAACAGATTCTGGCACATTCATTACTCTATACTTATATATGTGTAATGACAATAAAGATGCATCTCATCTCATATAATCTATAATAGTACAAAATTAACTTTAAATTTAAAGAGTTTTGTTATTAAAATGCTCTTTATGAAGAAATATCGGATGAAAAATGAACATTTATTGGGTATGAAGGAGGCTCAGAACAGCTGACAACTGTTGCTGTCATAAGGACTCAGCATGACGTCACGCCACTGATAAACAGAGGGATCAATATATTATTATAAATGATGGTTTTAATAATGAATATCTTTGTGGAAACCTGTTTGAATTGGCTTCATGAGGTGTAAAATGATTAATAAATTAGATTACTGTGTAAACTCACCTCCACACTGAAAGCCCCGCAGCCTTTAATAAACTCGCTGATGTTTCTCTGACACTCGCTGTCGTTTCTCGGCTCCTGGAAGAACTTCAAACAAAGAAAAGTGACTTAAAACAGATTCAAAATGTGACAAGCAACGTTAACAAGCTGTTAATGAAGGCGTTAAAGCTTATTCCGCATTTTAAAAAACCGTATTCCGGCCGGTGTGTGTGTGTGTGCACTTGCTCAAGCGACCTAATCAGCGACACTTCCGGTTGGAACTTTCAAAATAAAACGTAAACTAAGAGGCGTAAAACAATTTTGTACTTTAAATTCGATCTTTATGTCAGTTGAGAAAATACCAGATTTTGCAGCATACTGTTTTCTAGTTATGTCATAACTTCTGAGGGATCTTTATGTTAAACTACATTCAGGTAACTCTCTCTCAGAGGGAAGTTGGCGGAAACAAAGACGGAAGTGACGTCAACAGGTTAATAGTCCATTGTGTTCGCAGGTAAACAGAGTGATTATATTCCCAGGTACACTGCGGACTTCACAGTTAACTAAGTATGTTAGATGTATCATGGTTCTGGTGACATGTGGACTACATTATTATTGTTTTATTAGGACTACAAGTTTTAAAAAAGGTTATATACAGAATTTTATAATTTAATTAAAGTGCATCAGTCCTCTGATTTACATTATTTTATACCATAAAGACTCTACTTTTCTAACCCAGCATGCAACTTGTTCTTTCTGTCTTCATGCCTCTGTTTTTTATTTATTTTTCTTGATAAATGTATTTTTATTTGTTTTGCAGGCTTTTGTTTGTTTAATACGGAAGCCCTAAGAGGACACACACCCAGGTGTTTTAATTTATTGAGTTTTCCCGTGATGACGAGTACATTTTGGTTATTTTCACGAGATCTCAACTTGTTCCTGTTGTTATTTCAGGATAACAACGCTGGTCTTCCTTGATAGCGACTTCATTTCAGCCTTTTTCTGGAAATTAAATCTAAAATATATGGATGCATAGGCCTATTTATTGATTTGTATTTATATTTATATATATATTTATATGTATACATATATTTATGTATTTTAAAGCGATCTTCCGGGATTTGAGGGGTTAGGTATAGTGCACTGAGTTTGTATTTCTTTCTTCTTTAAGTGCACTGTGCAGCACTTTGATGAACTTTATTGTTTTTCAAATGTGCAATATGAAAAAAGTGGATTGGATTGAATTCAAACTTAATTTTTCCACCTGAAAGAACTTATAAATGTGGCAACAAATACAGAGAACATGGAAATATAGATCTCAAAGTCAGAAGAAAAGCAAAAACAGATTCTTCACATCACAAAAGAATAGAATAATTATTATTAGATTCAGTTATATTGAAAGTATTTAATATGTATAAGTGACTGAAGGCGTTCATAACAGGAATAAAAACACATCCTATCACAATAAAATCATTAATTTATGAGTAATAATAATAATAATAATATATTGTTTTTTTATTGTGCTTTTCTAGGAACCCAAAGACGCTTTAACAAAATATAAAACCATAAAACAAAACAAAAAGTAATAACCTGAATGTTGTAATTTCTTATTTCTAGGCAGTGATTTTTTAAATTCCCTGCTCCGTTTTTTATTAGGAGCTTTTAGATTTGAGGCTCATTCAGTGTGATTTTAATTAGGGGTTTTCTTTCTTGCACAACTGAGTTAATAAATGTAATCGTGATTATTTTGGTCTTCTTTCGTCCTCCATCCCTCCAGGCACTCACCCTGTCCACCGTCCCGGGTCTGAGTCGCTCCAGCAGCCGGCACAGCACCGCTCCATCCTGCAGGGACGTCTGCAGGAAAGCCTCCGGGTCAGAGATGCTCTTCTTCGGGGACTCCAGGACTCCGAGCGTGATGAGCCAAGTAACCGTCTGCTCGGCCGAATTCATGTCCGCTTCTTCTTCAATATCTGAAAACAACAGAAACAGAAAGAGCAGCAGCAGGGCTCCTCACTGCCTGCGGGACCGGTGCTCCGTCCAAAATGGGACAGAAGGGTCAGCCCCGCCTTGTTTGAACATCACAGTCAACACACACACTGCTTGGATTTCCCTCTGCTGGTCGAAAATAAAGAAAAATGTCTGTAGAAATAAGAAACAAATGTTTTTCCTTCCTTTGACAGCTTCTCTTAGTCCCTCTCTCTCTCTCCCTCTCTCTCTCTCTCTCTCTCTCTCTCTCTCTCTCTCTGCTTCAGCGGATGTTGGATTCACCTTTTGCTTCTGTGCACAACTGAGAGTCAAAACTGCATCAAGTTAAACACTGTGTGACACGACTTCCGGTTACAGTGTTCAAATTAAGAGCATGCACATGGCTTAGTCTGTGCTCTATTTCTTTTCCTCTTTTATCCTTTATTTTTCACAAGTTTTGTTTTAGAAACACAAATGTCTTTCAGTGCAAATGAAGCTAATTCAAATCACCTGATTGTGTTTGAGTTATAAAACAGTTTTAAGAAATCTGTTAAAAAGATATCATCCATATTTATTGTTGAGATGTCGTGCCTGAGCTCAGTTAGGAGCAACAATAATCACCTGTGCTGGCTGCAGCAAGCATCCACAGGTGAATGAGAGCCCCAAATCAGGTCTCCCATAAAGGGAGTTTGCTCTTTAAAGGACGAGACCTGTTCCACCTTTCTTTGCCGAGTGCGTCCACATGTGAGTTATTGTGTTTGTTTATGATGCAAAGGCAGACTTGATTTATTGTTTAATTGATACATCCTCTTTTTACTAAGAATTATTGAATATTATTTGTTAACAAGGCAAATCATTAATTGTCATATTTTGTCTCTGAAACAGGAAAAAACCACTTGACAAATTCAGGAAAAAAAACGTGTGCTAATAAAAACCTCAAAGTGGAATCATTCTCGCTGCCTTCATTCCCATGTTAACTCACCTTCTGAATGTCAATGAGCTTCAGCCCACAACATTTAGGTGACACCTAAAACATTTATCATGATATGACTTTGTGTGTATGTCTGAAATCATGATGTCAGTCACATGTAAATATACAGGAGATGAGTGGATTTCTACAACCTCTTTCAGTGACTTGACGAAGGACACATTATGACTTTAACACCTGTGTCATTGGTTGTTATGTGCAGTGTGTGGAGTCGACCTATAGGTTGTTTTGCTTTGAAGGCACATCGAGTAACTTCCGTTTTGACTCACGTTAACTTGAATGGTTAAACGAAGCTGAGAGCAGAACATCACAGGACCGTCCCAACGACCAATAAGCTCACTAAAAACCCCTCACCGTGCAGGTTCAACCACGGGTAAAACAAATATAGAGCTTTTAATGTCAAACTGTAAATATTACAATAATGTCCCGATGTAGCAGCTCTGCGATACATGCACTGAACAGAACCCTATTCAAATAATAACGCATTTTAAACGACATGAAACACTTAATTATTTTATTTACAAATTTATTTATTTATGTTTTAATTAAGTCTTTACCCCTTATCCTAAAAATTAGAAATAGATTGTTCTTGAAGGATTATTTTTAAACACATTTCGGCTCGAGTTGAGTCTTAATGTAGTTTAGAAAAAAGTGTCAGATGGACTTTTTAAAATAATATGTTAGACTGTGGGGACATAAAAATACTTAATTGACTTTTACAGCTTTTTATTATCACCTGTGTCAAACAGGCCTTTGGCGCCATCTGGTGGACAGATTGAGTATTTTCATAATTATCCATTTAGAAGTTATTAAATTTACCACATTTCACTGAGACTAATGTCACAGGATTGTTATAGATAATACAGAGTTTTAAAGTAACATGGTGTTTGTATATATTACAGAAAAGAGCCATCAGACTCATTAACAAGGTGAATGTTAGAGGATGATAAAAGAACAAGAGAGCCGGTAAAGTTAATTTCTAGTCTTCTGACTTTCGCTTTATTGTCCCCGAGGGGAAATCCGTTTTACAGGCAGGTGAGAAGAAACAAAAATAACCACAGGTACATGGACTCAAAAACCACTGCTTTCATTTCATGTCACTAACTCACTGCTCGCCCATCGTGCACCGAGGTGTCAGGATTTTATTCACGCAAACAGATTCTTTTAACGGTTTTGTGATTTAAAAACCAGCTCTCATACCTGCCAAACACGTCATAAAAAATGTTATCATCTGTAACATCTGAAGAAAAGAGGGTTGAGCGGCTAAAATACGAGAATTTGACTCACAACAGGATGTCACACTCAGTCCTCACATGAAGCACAGTGTCACTTTAATGTGTGGAGGTTGTTCTGAAGCGCAGGTTTGAAGAGCTGGTCTGCAGAATGTGTGATCTTTTAATATCTTATACTTAAAACATGTAATCCTGTAAAAGTATTCACGGTTACGAGGCTGTATCCACGTCAGGAAACTCTAAATTCAGTCAGCCAAGAATGAATCTGCTTCTTTTCACCGTCACAGATATGAGAGAAAATGTTGGTGAATTATGCCTCAGTGTTTTCAACTTAATCCTGCAAATAGGGAGGAAAATATTAAAACATAAACATAAAAAAAATGTACAGAAACGGCTGTAATGACTGTTACTGCCTCAAAAGGATACACCGATTAGGATCCTGTGAATTACATGTATCGTTAATCAGATCTAAACGGATCTGATATAAAAAAGTATAGTGTGTGACCATGATGAAAAGAAGTCATCAGATTAATCCTGTTTTTTTTTAACAAAGCTGTAAACATGTTAATTTCTGCTGTAATAACTAAGTTTTAGAATGGGTGTGTATGTGACTTCCTGTGCTTCTGCAGCCAGCCTCTAGTGGACACTGAAGGAACTGCAGGACTGCTTGTTTTTTTGCTCTTTTTTTAAATGTTCTGAAAGTTAGAACATGTAAATCCCAAATTCTGAATGAAAACATTAATAATATCTCAACGAGTGGAATCTAGGGCATGTCCCCTTTCTTTCACAATGAGGGTTTGTTTGTGGTTTGGTGTTGGTGTGTGCCATCATGTGTGCCAGAGTGGAGGCGGGGGGGGGGGTGACACCGCAGTTTCATCAGTCCGCTCAGTTTTTCTGTTCGCTGCGCTTCAACTTCCTTATTTAGTCGTATTTCCTCTTCCGCTTACTGATGAAGCTTCACTGACTTCTTCAGGGCAAAACGTCTGCTAGATATTCTTTGTTTAACTGCAGGAAGGCAGACTAAAAATGACCTTTTTGAACATATAAGAAGGCGTTTTTTTAATCTGGTATCGACCTGCTTCCACTTTTTAAAAGCTGCTTTTCTATTTGAAACTCTGGGCGAAGGAACTTGTGTGAGACTGGTGAGTACAGAGGCTGGGGAGAGTGTATTTCACAAATCCAGCAGCGTAATCATAAATGAATATAACTTCTGTTTTTCTTCTCTCCGTTTGTGTTTTTAAAAGAGACAGGAAGGCAGAGACCTGTCGAATGTAGGCGTTGAAGAAATGTATGTCTACATGCAGTAGCATACGAGCAGCGTGTGTGTGTGTGTGGTGAGAGTGTATGTGTGTGATGTCGGGGGACACCAGCACCCTGTCCTGGAGGAGCATGTCTCCCACCAGCCAATCAGAGTCCTCAGATTTGTCTCCCACGCCGAACATGGTCAGGGAAAACGTCTTGCCGGTGAAGATCATCAAGGTGTGTTTCCTAAGCAACAGCTCCAACCTCGGCAAGAACTTCAAACTGGTCCGCTGTCAGGAGGGATGGACCGTCAGGGTGAGATAAAACTCTTCTTCTTTACTCTTCTGAATGTTTTCAAGACTTTAAGCTGGTTTCACGTTTTCCTGTTGTTGACGGCCCTCTTCTTTACTCAATTCAATAGAGTATCATATCAGGAAGTCCAAATAAGGGCATCTGTTTGTGCCATGACCCCCATACAGCATTGACCTCAAGCAGGGACCCCCATCATGCAACATTTCTTAAATTCTTCGAACACGATGGCAAATATGAACCTCTAGACCAGGGGTGGGCAACTGGAGGTGGCCCCCGTCAACCCTCAATGTGGCCCTCAGGACAATTTTTACACATCAATTAATTGGAAACATGAAGAAATCATGAAAACCAGAAATATGTCCATGATAATATTTGATCATTGGTATATGTTGAGTTAAATTTGAGATGTTTTTGTATTCTACAATTCTGCCCTCTGGTAGTGAGAATTAAATGAATGTGGCTCTTGTTGTTGTCCATCCCTGATCTAGACCGAGAACACGTTTGGTCACTTCACTACAATTATTACTTCATGTATTGAAGTCAAAGTCTCTGTGCTTGCTCGTTATGACACCTTGGAGACGCCTGATTACTGAAAACTTCAAACCTCCACTGAGCTTCTTTTCATGTCTTATGTGCTCTACTTTCTCATTTGCTGTAATAAATCAGATTTACTTCTCTTCTCTCCCAGAATGTCATCAACTTGGTCGTGTCCAGCGGCTGTGTGGGTCCTGATATAACGTACAACCTGTGTTACGGCCTCCTCCTCAAACACCTCAAGTCTTCAGCCATACACTGGCTCCACCCCGACCTGACGGTGTGTGAACTCACACAGCGATACGAGCAGCAGCACCTGGAGGCCGAGTGGAGGTCAGTACCGCTTTCACGCTTTTACAAAACTCCTGAAGTGTTCGGGGGTCGAGCTGCGTGTGTGAACACAAAACGCCTCATCCAGAGTCTCTCCTGACACCCACAGAGTTGAATCTCAGGGTGAAGTCAGAGTGATCTGATGTGAGAACGCAGCAGGATATTATCAGGAGAATTCACCTGGAGCCAGTGGGAGGGGGTGGTGACGTTTATTCCCTGTGATCGCTGCAAAAGATGGTTAATTGTGCAACTTTCTCTTTGTCCAGGTACGATTTAAGAGTCAGATACATCCCGTCAGACTTCATGGAGAAATTCAAAGACGACAGAACGACCATGCTTTACTTTTACCAGCAGGTACGTGTGATACAACTTTTTTTTTTGCACATTCTTAATTACTGTTTTTATATTGTTTTGATGTATTGTCCATGCAGCAATTTCCCAGTAGGAAGGGAGACGAATAAAGAAACCTTGACCTTGGTGTTAGATATCACTGTGATGATAAATCTCTTTTTTTTTGATCTGGGGAGGAAACACATTTTTGCAGATTGTCTGTTTTCCTCAGGGTCATTATTGGGGAGATTAAGAATTGTTAAAGAAAAGTAAAGGGTGATGGAATAAGTGTGTTTTTCACCTCAGGTACGAAGCGACTACATGCAGCAGTACGC